AACGACTTGCGACCTATCACTGAGAATCACAGCCGGTGCGGCCACCCATACCCGGAAAATGGCAGGCTCAGTTCTGGAGGCTGACAGAAAATTGGCCGAAGCCACAAGAGACAAGGCCAGCGATCCAGGCGTATCCTCAGGCCCCTGCCTGATTTCTTCACGTAGTGAACCTTGGCCATGGGTTCCAGGATACAAAGACCCAGTAGCCATTCCCAGATGTTGATGGGGTTACGACCCTACTTACTTCTCAGAGGGAAGAACCTCACGTCAAGTGATGTCAAGGGTGGAAATCACATTTTGGCGTTCTTCTTTGGGAGGAATGGAGAAGTAAATGGTTCTCGTCTTGGCAAACCCACGGAATCGAACCTGTGCGCCATTAAACTTCTTAGGAGTCACGGAATCAGGAGTAGATTTAACTACACTTCGGTTCCTTCAATCCATATCTTGGTTGGTCACAGCCATCTTTCTTTGGTATGTGTGCATCCTCATCTGGCTTGGTTTGATGCCGGTCGAGTGTATTTCGTTGCTGAAATCTCCAAGACTTACTGGCCGAACTCCCCACAAATGCTGAATTTCCCACAAACGCAGTAGGATTTTTCCATGCTTACGGATGAACTCCACATAGTATCATATAGTATCACTATTTCTAGCTAAGGAAAAACTGAGACCCCTATTCCCATGGCTTCAGCGGAGGCACTCCAGAAGCTCCCACACTCGGCGAGGCGGACGCCCGCCTCGATGTGATAAACCCAATGCAATAAACCATCTTGCCACAAACCATCCCCAAGATTACCATAAATGGGCGGTAAAAACCCATCCCCAAATGGTATGTTTTTGATTGGGTCTACCACATCAATTATGGTTAAACATGATGAAATCTGATTTGTTTCGTTAACTATTTCTGAAATACCGTTTGATCCTCCCCTTCTTCCGGTTAGACGTTCCGTTTTAATGCAGCAAACAAATGATTCAAAGTATAGTTGAAGAGACAAAACTGGCCGAAAAACTTCCAGTGAATATGACAGCAATAAAATATAATTTGCAACAACAGAAAAAGTACGTAATTTTGTTTGACTAATAATGGTGGTTTCACCCACATAAACATTTGCCTGGTCAAAGGAAAACGATCCACCGCAACCACCAAAAACTGGTGATGTAAGTCAAAAAAGAGGATCTACGCAAAATGCATGGGCCATCTTAAGTGTGTGGGTGTTTTCAAGCGTTGGGGAACCTCTTCGCAATGAAACTATGGCATTCCTGCTGCTTTGGACACTCTGGTTTCATCCTTGATTGTCGAGTCCCTGGTTCCTTCCTCATTCCATGTCGGTTGATCTCCCATGTTTTCCTCATTGTTGGTCAACGCCCAAAGGTTGGTGAAATCGGCCCCGGCACCTGGTGTCAGCTTGAGGCTCTGTCCTTGCTCTCATTAAGGTGCCAGACACCTCAGTAGCCCTCGCTGAGCTGAAGGGCCGCTAGGGCCCCCAGGGCTACAACTGGACGACTTTACCAACTCAAAACCTATTGACATTTTGGAAGATCTCGGATCCACCTTTGGGAAACAGTTTTCGAACGTTGTTTTGTTGGCTTTTGCTGCCGTTTACTTTGCCCAAAACATCCCAGAACCCTAAGAATCCTAAGATGAGACCAGGCCCACGGCAAGTCGTGTGCTAAGTTTTCCACTGGCAGTCCTGTCCCAGGGTACCTGGCTGTGGAGAGCTGCAAACACTGACTGGCTTTAGGCTCTAGTTACTCTAGTTTCTTAGATGTGGACTCAAAAAAAACTCCTCGGCGAACAATAAGGAACTAGAAGCGTAGCGCTTGCTGTACTACTGCACTCATCTATCTGATCCTGGTCCGTCACGTTTACGCTTCACACTTTGCAATGACAGGCCCAAAAAATGACGGAATCATCGCTCATGCCAACCTGTGGTCAAACACAAGTTGACCCACACTGCTAGTTCCAGGACCCCCCCTGTCAGTTCATATGCGGTCTAGACTTTTCCAGAAGCAATTCATCCCCTGTGGGGTTCCTCCCCAATTGATCCACCATGAATTGGTGGTTGAATCCCCACTTTGGTGACAAACCCAAATATCGTTTGGTTGGTTACGATTAAAGCCACACTATGTCCCCATGTTCTTCCGATACTGAAAACTAGGTGCCCCAAGAATTCATTGTAACTAAAAATAAATGTTAAGTTGACTCAAAATATACTAAAGATTACTAAAGTAGTTTTTGATGTTCAAAAAAAATGACCCATCCCCTTCACGTGTTGGGTGTGAGAACTGGAGAGCCTCGAAGCCTGAAGAGCAAAACTCGGTTTTGGGCCGAATAAAAAATCCCTATCTATAGTATTCTATAGTTAGTTCTGCACCAGTTAGAGCTACTGTAGTTAGTTATGGATTATTCTTTTCAGTGATTTTCATCATCTTCCCAGGCAAATATGGGAAGAAATCAGCCCATGGTCGCGTTTTTTGTAGGGGGTAGACACCTCCAGATTTGGGTGTCTCCAAAGGTACTGTATTCCAGCTGTTGAAGCATCTCAGGCTCCAGATGTATATCCCAGCTTCGTGTTGGAGATCTTCCCATCTTCAGTGGATGTATCCCAGCTGGATGTCGCTTCCATACCCGTAACACCCAGAACGCCTTTTTCAAGGACCCATGCTGAACAAAGGACATTAAACTTCACTCATCCCCACATCCTCCAACCCCAGGCAGTGATTTTAACATGTGGGCATTTCCCATTTTAGAGGTATCCCCCATCTGGACAAACCCGTATGTAGTGGAAAATGAAACAATGGGTTTCAATAGAATATTGTGGCATCCTATTATATAAACATCATCAAATATTCTTACTTTACTGGATATATAAATGTTGGCAAAATAGGATCAGTAATGTCATGGAGTCATGATGATTCAAGGTAATTTCCATTTGGAAATATTTGGAAATATGTGGGTTGAAGTGGCTTTGTACATGTATATCATGTATATACAATACTATCTACATTCATGTGTACATGTGGATTTCATTCGCAGCATTGTAAATTCGCACCGCCCATTCGACCGCCCACTCGACCGCCTCACTCCGTTTCTCCGAACGTCCTGAGACCCCAAGGGGGGGCGCTGCGGCTTACTCCAAGAAATGGATAGGCTTATTACAAAATGGATGGTCGGATACCCAAAAATGGATGGTTTACAGCTACAAATGGATACTTGAAGACTAGAAAATGCATGTATGCATGTATCTAGGCGTATCATGGTCAAAATCTGGTACAAGTACATGCTTATGGTCATAAATGAAATCCAAACATAATGGGTATGTAAATCACTGTTATATAAACGGCTTGATGACCATCCCCCAATATGAGCAGTTCACCTCAATCTTGACTATGGCACATATGCGTATGTATATATATATATTGCATTACATTCCATTCCATTCCAGTACATTACATTACATTGCATGCATACATACATACGTATACGTATACAATACACACAAATTATCCAACCAAGTTAACAATAGTGGCTTGTGAATCTCCTGCTAAGCTTATTTAACTTTTAGTGGAATGTGTTTTTTTAATCCATCTTACCCGGAAAAGGCAGAAATTGTAACCAAATAACCTAACTGGATATAACTGGTAGGGGGCCCATCATTGCAAGTTGACAATGAGGCCCATGCAGCTGGATCTAAAAGTCAAATGTGATACTTGCAGGTATGCCTAGTGAAGCCTAGTGGTCTAACATTGTTGTTACCAACAAAAAAATAGAGTATGCATCCCAAAGAATGCCCATGTCCAATTTTTTTTTATCGGGGAATCAAACACGATTTGACCGGCCGGGCCATCATTTGCTGTGCCAAAACCTTTCAGCATGTGGGCAATCGTGCCCTGATTCCCCCGGGATGAAATAATCGCGGGTCGCCTCGGGGTGAGGAAGTGCACTACATGCCATGAAACGATCGAGTTCCGACGCACGGATCCTCCAGCTGAGTCAAAAAAATATGGCCTTGCCAAAACATATCATTTAATACCAAAAGCGAGTGGTTCTTGGTCTGGAAATAGCACCCATTCCATCCTTTGAGTCTCATCCGTAGTTTTTCATCGCCATTGGGGGGTATAAATCCTATTCTCTGGTTCAATATCCCTCTTTTCTGACCCATACATAGTTGCGTCATCCTGATACCATTGCCGTTGGCTCCTCGTGCGCAAGCACTGCAGCCATCGGTGCCTCACAGGTACTTTTTTGGCGACAGGGCTAGTGGGAAATGGACATGGGTCAAAATATGTCAAAATTGAGTAGCCCCAAAACTGGATGGCATATATTTGTAATATATCATATATATATATATATATATATGTGTGTGTGTGTATGTTTATATACACGGTATATATATATACATATATATATATATGTTACATATATATATATGTTACATATGTATATACATATATATATATGTGTGTTACATATATATATATGTTACATATAATATATATATATATTATATTATAAATATATGTTATATTATATTATATATATATGTTAAATTATATATAATATGTTATATTATATATATGTTATATTATATTATATATATGTTATATTATATATATGTTATTTATAGATATTATATATATTATATATATTATATATATATATTATATATATATTATATATTATATATATATTATATATTATATATATTATATATATATGTTGACTCAGGCCTTTCAGTGCTTTGCAAAAGAGGCTGATGGTGCACGCTCTCCCTTTTTTGTCCATCGCCCACCAAAGGTTAAGAGCTCGAATGCAGCTCCCAGGTCCGCAGCTACGCAGCGGTCGAAGACGGTGAAGAGCTCCGCAAGGTGGAAGCCAGGAGCACCATCGTCGCCGCATAGTCAAGGAAGGGGCCAAGCTGCAAAGAGACAAACCGATTCTGCAGGGACGGTCCAGCAGGTGCTAGGACGAGTGCCACGAAGGTCATGAACCATGGCGTTTGTCATTTCCCTGCGGAGCGAGTCTCACCAGCATCCAAAAATGCAAAAGACGCAGCAGTAGAACGAACTGAAGCTCGAGTCTCAGCTGACAGAGTGGCAAAAACATTGAGTGCTCCGACTTCTTGCAGATAGCTTTCAAGAGTCGTCTGGCTCCTTAAACGTAGAAGCCACATCAAATCTGCAATTGGTCGGCCATTCTTGTAGTGATAGACAGCAGCGCCGCCTCTCAACCCTCCAGGAGTCAGGCCAAGCTCCTTTGGAATGCGCAACATCTCCAAAAGCAGATTCCAGCGCTTTCTGTATTGGTATGCACTTGCATTGAACAGTGGAGCATCCAATGGGAGCTGGCCAAAGATCTTTGTGAGGATGCGTGAGGCGGAAGTGCTGCTGACTTTCATATGTTGGACCCTCGCAGGCTGTCGCATCTGAGATTTGAAGGACCTCAGCCTCAAAAAGACAGGGGAGCCAGTGGCTTCAAAAACGTCACCGGGGAGTACCAAATCCTCCCTTGAGCACCTCAGGACTTCGCCAAGTCTGCCAGCACCGTAAAAAGAAAGGACGGTTGCTCCCACCCAAGACCACCACTGCATGTGCCAAGCCAGGACGCACATAGCGCAAACCAAAGTCTCCGGGACAGGCGTCCTGTGTTTCACCGGGCACAGAGATTCCCATTTCTCAACCATCTCCCAAGCTGGAGCCATAAACACTCTTGCACTCGGGGCCCATCTTTGTGCAGCCAGTAAAAGGTGACGCAGATTGCTAAGGGCTCCACCGTTTTGAAAAAGCCACTCTGCATGTGTTTTCAAGGCTTCGACCAAAAACTGCGGCACTGCTGAGAAGAGCTCGGACAGGTCAACGTTGGTGATGGTCTCCCGGCACCATCGCTGGAACTTTTCCAGCTGCTTTGCTTCGAGCGCCAGAGTCTGAGCAGTTACCAGTTGAACTTCTCCAAGGCGTCCAACTCTAATAGGCGCCTTTCGCCTATTGGGCCCAGGGTGGTCAGCTTCTCCAACTCGAAGGCTGCCAGACTTCGAACAACCTGCCACATCAAGCCTCTCAGTCCGGCACCATCCAGCTTTCTGGCACAATGCCAAGGCTAGCAGTCTTGCAAATCCCCATGGGTACGGTTGAGCTACTGCAGTCCAGGGTATCTTCTTTGTAGGATGCCCCCCACGAAGTTGCACGTGAGGCTTTTTGCAAGTGCACATCATTCTGACTCCAGCAAGTCGAGTGTTTGTTGCTACCCTTGTTCCCTTCCTCCATGCAGTTCCAAACCTACAAAAGCAGCATCTAAACAACTTGTCACTGCCAGAATGTCTCCAACGCCTCCACTTCTTCTGCCTCCACCACCAAGACGTGTCTGGGTTTTCAACAGCATAAGCATTCCCTTCATCTTCACAGGTTACGACTAACTCAAAAACGAAGTCATTGTGGCTGTTGCCTTCGGCCACCTTTTCTCGCATGCTGATCCGCAGACCTGGTATTCCTCTTGGGAACCTGCTGGAACGTACTGGTGGAGTGACAGCCACTGAGAAGCTCGCACAGATTGGGGCCGCGCACATGGCCAAAAAGCATCCAAAAAGGAACATCTTCCTGATGACGTTCCTTACATTCTCATCCAACAAGTTTTCATCAGAACTCCTGTTCCATTCAAACGTCAAAACCCAGGGCGCCCCGAAGTTGAGCAGCTGCTTTGCTACTCCATAGGTTCCACTGAAAAGGTCCAAAGCTCCAGGAGCATGAAAAGCCTCCACTCCACTGCTAAAGAAAAATTGCCTTCTTGGCAGGCTCTCCAGCAGCTGCACGCCTTCCAGCGTAATGCCGCCTGTAAGGTGAAGTTCTGAGGTTCTGTCTGATGGCAACTCATTGGAAACATTTCTCACACGCACCGGCCGCGATTTAGCGGCAGCATCTTTCGTCTCAACTTGTCCACTTGCACCTGAAGACACCATCACTCTTTTCGCACGCCAGTTCTTTGACTTCATCGCAGCCATTGATTGCAAGTCAAGTTGGTCACTGCCACTGATGTCATCAAAGGGAAGAGGTGCGGTAGGAGTAGGAGCGCCCACTTTTGCCAACCACCTGTCAAAAGCCGCACAATCACCGTTCGCTAACTGCTGTAGCCAAGGAGGTTCTTCAAGGTCTGGAGGTGAAGGAGATGAACCTCGAGTAGGATCATCTGCGCGGTTTGAAGCGGTGTTGTAGTACATGGGCAGCGTGTACGCATCTCCTCCAATGGCGTAAGGCATGGTGGTCTGAAGGACTCGGTTGAGCTTTGGGGACGCGGCACGTCCTTTTACAACAGCACCCAAAGCAACTTGCGAATCTGCTCCACTCAGGTAGCGCAGAGACGGGGTTGCATTTGCCACTCTCTTCTCCTGAACCTGCGTGCTCCGTTTGGAAGTTTTGTGTCTGCAACTGATGCCAGCCGCAAGGTTATTGCAGCTGTACGTGCTCCGCTTCCTTCGAGAGCAGTGGCAGAGCTTTCCAGACATACGTTGAGGAAAGGCATATGGGCCAGGCTTCTTCCTCCTGGGCGTGCACTCCTTCGCGAACATGGACTCCTCGATGTGGATGACGAGGTGCCTGATGAGAAGTACAGAACCCACCCGCTGTGGGAGACCTTGGCGAGATCTTTGGTGTACAGCGAGTCATGGAGAAGGTTAATTCGTGCTGAGCAGCACATCAATGTGAGCGAACTGCAGGCCTACGTTTTGGAGGAGAAGAGAGTGGCAAATGCAACCCCGTCTCTGCGCTACCTGAGTGGAGCACTGTAGAGCTCTTGCAGTTCATCATTAAGGGCTCAAAGACGACATCCATCAAGCTGTAAAGCCTCCTTCTCACTCCCAACAAACTCACCTGCATGCCTGCCAAACTTTCCAAGAGCCCTACCGTGGCCAGTCCCAGCGAGCAGACTCTCAACGTTATGACCATAGTCGGCCACAACCTCTTCTGACTCGCACGCAAGAGCCCCTTTTCTCCATCAAGGTCAATGCCCCAGAAGCTTGAGCAAGTTTCTCCCAGGAACCCTTTCTTTGGGTTGTTCTTTAGCCCTGCTTCAGCATACGCCGTCTGAGCACGGCTTATGCGGTCGCCACTTTCCCAGTTACCTTCAAAACGACCATCAGCGACAAACTCGGCCTTGAGGACCTGTTCCAAAATGACCAAGTCGTCGACAATCACGCCGACTTGTAGAAGACCACGAGGCACAGACCCATGCATCGTTATGATCTCATCAGCCGTGGCGACGCCATGCTGAAGCATCAAACCTATGTGACTGCACTGGGCAAACTCGACTGCACAAGTGTCTCCCATAGCCAAGGAGGACAAGCCAACTGCCACTCTAGAGGTGGGCCAGCAGAAGTTCTCACCAAAGACCTCTTTGGCCTCTGCAAGTGACAGCGACCCATGGAGCACGTTCCTAGCCGTCCTTTGAGCGTTCACCTTGAACTGATAGAAGCAGTCTTTCAGGTCTTCACCACTAGCCACCAGGTTCAGCTCTGGGTGGATATAAATTCCACTCAAGGCAGCGGCGTTGGCCATTGATTGACTCCAGCGTTGTTGCCCACGATCGACCATGTTGGCAGGGCGTCCATCTAAAACCATCCTGTCACGAGATGCATCTTTGGGGACTGCAAAAAGCCCATTCCGATAACCATCAAGGTATGTACCTTCAGGCACTGGTTGAAGGAGCCCGGAATCTGCAAGCTTCTTGAACAGCTGCAGTTTTCCCTGCGGACTGGCACGAACCTGCACAGGAGGTGGCTTCCCAACTTCTTGCAACGGCTTGCCAAGGTCAAGAGGAAACTCGTACAGCTTCTTGGTCGATCCATCAAAGTACCTCCTCGGGTCAAACTCAGGCTTTCCCGGAAACTGCAGTCTAGATGCCTTCAATGGCTTCGCTCCATGGTCAGGCACGTGGCTCACTTCTCCCACGCAAACACCACAACGAACAGGTTCAGCTTCACCACCAGCAGAACATCGAGAGGACCTTGACTGGGAGGCATAATGCCCTTCAAAAACCTGCAAGGTAGACACCGCACGAGCCACAGCAGAAAGAGTATCTTCGTACCCTTCAACCTTCGCTGCTGAGCGGCACATAGTGGCAGCGTCCACAAATTGGGGTGAATTCCCATCAAAGGACAAGTGCATCAGCATCCTTACGACCGACCATTGGCGTGCCGTAAGCCTGTTTCCCAAACACAGATGCGCTGGGGCATTGAAAGGCTTTCCCAGCGCAAGCCAGCTAAAAGTGACCACCTGAAGCGAAATGAGCCGCTTCGTACTCATAGTTCCCAACGAGGCAGCACCGGAACTAAAGGCTTCAGGAAAAGGCACCGGCATCGGCCAGGTTGAACTTGTCCTTGACGTAGAGCTAGTAGAGCTGCGGGCGTTCTTCAAGATGGACCGCAAAAAGCTCTGGAGGCTGCACTTCGTCTTCATGAGTCACCGAGGCAATGAATTCAAAAAAGCAGGAACATGCAGTGTAGATGCCCCTTCTCCCGGTGCCTTCATCGAAGCATTGGCAGGACAAGGAGCAGAGGTTTCATCCTCAACTGGATCCTGCATCAGCGGTCCTGTTGGGACCCGGAAGACTGGCTCTTTGGCTTCGCTTTCGGTTTTGGCTTCCTTTTTGTGTCTGCATCTCCGGCTTCGTCGGCAGCTCCCTCTCTTCCGCCTCGATTGAACTTGCCCACATTCTTTCGCTTGACCTGATCCTTCAAGTGTGCCATAGCAAGCTCTGACCACCTCGGATCCAGCAGCTTCGAGAAAGGTGATTCGCCATCTTGTACTGCAGGAAGCTGGTGGTTGGCTAAGGAGGCAAATGGTGGAGGTGCCTCCAATGCCAACTCCCCTGCAAGGGCCCAATTCCCTCGATCGATGCTTGCCTGGTCCAACATCAACAGGCAGACTGAAGCTCTTGCCCTCGCCTTTTTCACATGACCCTGCATGAGTGAGTCCAAGATCCCTGCTACACTCCAAGCTGCATAAGCTCCGGTCTTGTAGGCCCCAATCCGGCTCCTGAATTCCACCCACGCCCGTGCGCAAAGCTGAGGTGGAGCCATGCCAGGACCGATGGTGACCGCGTTCAAGTCCTCGTTCATGAGCCGCCCGATCAAAGCTGAGATGTCCTCCGGATGCTCCTCGTAAGAACTCCGCAATGCCCTTCTCGCAGCTGCGGCCTTCTTGCCTGTGCCTTGAAGCGGAAGGTCTGATGAGGAACCAGCTCCGGAGTCCAGGGCCACTTCTAACTTGGACGTCGAGGCTCTCTTCAGCTTCTCCGATGTGAGCAAGTCCACAATCGCTGTCAGCTTCGAAAGTGAGGCAGCAAGAGGCCCTTGGTCCGCAGATCCATCTCCTTCCTGATCTTCTGCATTGTCGCCCTCGATCACCTCGTCCTCGGACAAGAAATCTGCTGGCTGCACCATCGGGTTCATGTCCTTCACTTTCATTGCTTTCGACCCTCGGCTCACCAACTTCTGCATCTGTTGTAGGTTCTCCTCCGGTATACCGGCTTGTAGAGCCGCATGGACCACTCCCGCATCCAACATAGGATACGGATTGTGTGGAGGTACTGGAGAAGAACCCGCACCAGGTCGTGGCTTGAGGGGTCTTGACTTCGAAGAAGGAGCTTTGGCAGTGGCCTTCTTCTTGGGCGCGGATTTTGCTGCACCCAGCTTCCGCATCTCCGTCGTCAGCTCCGTCAACGCCTGTTCTAGACGATCCACTCGCCGATGAACTCCTCCCGGCGTAAGATCCTGATATCCAGCATCTCCTGGCACCAAAGGCTCCCCATCGATGTCGGGCTCCTCCACTTCGTCTGCTAAGGGCACAGCGCCATCTGCTGAAAAGAACGCAAAATGCTCTTGAGCTACATCGACCAGGCCCTGCCCAAAAGGGAGCAGCATGCCATCCTCCATGCTGTCGAAACAGTATTGAACATTGCACTCGTCCACGATCTCTAAGTGGTCGAAAAACGCAGGCTTCAGGAACCCGATCCATACTTTGATGGTTTCGTCAGGTACGGGCTCTTCCAAATTGCCAGCCTCTGCAGCTGCGACCTCAACCAAAGTGGGCTTTGCCAAAGCAGACGAGGGCAAAATGCGCCTCGAAGTCGTACGAAGAAAAAATTTCGGGCACCGCAACCAAAAGCTTTCCCTCAAATTCTCCAACTTGAATTAATTGCAAGGTAGGGCTGAAAGACTCGGTGTCAACGGCAAAAAGGCCAACCGGGTACTTCAAATTAACCACCCCCTCGGCAAAGACGTAGGGTTCACGATCGTCAGGCCAAGGGTCTTGTCTGAAGACCTTCATTGCTCAATCACGGCGGGCCAGTCAAGCTCCGCCGCAGCCACCACTCTCCGCGCTTCCCTCTCTGAAGGCACTCCCACAAATACACTATCCCCGCACTCGTTGTTGCAGGGCTTGCACAACACTTTGCAGCTGGTCCAGCTGCGCACCACCTTCACTGGTGTGTAGATCTGGCCCGCAAAGTCCCGCACGATGATCCACAACCTCGAAGGGAGTGGTATGCGGTCTCTGCCTGATGCGCCCCTGAATCCACCGCTGATGGATCTGGCCAGAAACTTTCCAATCTGGTCACAAATTGCCTCTCTCTCAAGCCAAGACAACTGGCAAGGTGCGGAAGAAGGTCCCGCTGCAGCAGTGTTTGTCTCCGGCACTGATTGCAAGTGAGATCCGCACCTCTCCTGCGGTGAAAAAGGTCCCAGCGATGTCACGCCAGGGGTTGGAGATCGAGTCACACTTCGATCTCCTGTTGGGGTGTAAGAAGTGTCCCTGGATTCACTCCTGGACTCAGGCTCTTCCAAGTTCTGCTTGAGCTCGTTCACCAACCGGCGAAGTCGCCGCACCTCAGTCTTCAGATCTGCCACCTCCTCTTCCAAATCTTGGATGCGTCCGTCCACCGAGGCTTGCAAGAGCATCAACAGAGCTTGTACAGCGGCTTTTGCAGGGCTCTCGGCCTCGCAATGCGTTCAGCAGGAGCCCGGTCAACCCAGGCGAAAACCACCAGCTTAGCGGTGAACCACAGCTCAGCCAGGAAGTAGATGAGCAGCCCAGTGAAGAGTCCAGCGATGAAGCTGGCACCGTCAAAGCGCCACTGAGCGATAGCTGGAAAGATCAGCTGGTCAGATCTTTCAGCCCAGCTAAGCAACTTGAACGCGAGAGCAAGTGAGCCACCTGTTCCCACGCTGTTGGTGAGGGCTCGCATGAGCCAGCTTTGAAGCTGCACCAGGCAATCGTAAACATCAAGAGCATGTTATATATATATATATATTTACCATTCTTGCAACAGTTGCTCAGTGCACAGCAACACATCTTTTTAACGCTTGGGGAGTTCTGCTGCAGGTGCCAGCCAACGGCTGGGTAGGCACCGCAAATCGAGGAAAAAAAAAAAGGATTCAAGAACTGGATGTCCTTCCACATTCAATTGAAATCTAAATCCATCAATGGTGGTCGCTGATGCCGTTGAAAGGAGAGTTGCAAGGCCCTTGGAAGCTGGTAAAAGAGGAGGAAGCGGTACAGTCGCATTTCGTGTATGCCGCGTTCAAGCCATTGGATACATCGACGCACCAAAGGGAGCACATTGGGAGCTGCAATGGTTTCAAGTCCATCTTCTAAGTCTTTGAGCTGATCAACCACGGAAGCAGCAAGTTGCAGTTGCCGGTCAAGATGAATCAATGGCTGCAGCAGCTCTTGCAGCGACGGGTCAGCGGCCGGAGGACAGCCAGCATGAGTCAGAAAAATGATGTACAGATGAGAGAATGCAAATGCCCAAAATAAAATGTATTGGACATTGGAAAAAAAACAGGAGGTGACAAAGGGGTTGGTAGGAGGGACAAAAAGTGTTGCTGAGCCAAAACTACAACCATACGATGAACAACTGATCAACTCGACCTGACATCTCAGGTCTTGTTGCTGCCATGATAAGGTGTTATCACTCAGTTCCCTCGTGAGAATCAACTTACCATTCTTGCGACAGTTGCTCAGTGCACAGCAACACATCTTTTTAACGCTTGGGGAGTTCTGCTGCAGGTGCCAGCCCCCCATTTTGTTGACCTGCTCTAGAGCGAGCCAAGAGGTCATTGACAAACATGTCAGGATCTACATTGATCCTACACCTTTCATCAAGGTGGTTGTAAACACCCCTGGAGGGTTCATCTGCAACATTTGCATGGCTAGCCACCCTTTCAAACCAAGTCACCGCACACACGGTGAACTCCCAAAGCAAAATCCCTTCAAAGATCAAGCGGTCGACTCCAGTACCAACTGAGCCAGAGATCAGCCTCGCAAGCACCGAGTTGTTGTCAATGAAAATCACAATACGGTCACACGGCTGTATTGCCAAAGGATCAAGCAAAGACGACACACCCATAAGCACTGCGAGTGCCTCCAACTCGAAAATTAAGTTCTGTTTCTGGCATGGGTTCAAGAGGTCCACTAGACCAGCAGGAAGCTGCTCTGAAAAGAAGGATAGCATGACACCATTCCGGTCATACAACACGCCTCCGACACCACCCACAGATTCCTCGAAACATGCATCTGTGTATAAATGAAAAACACGGCCAGCTGATGCAAGTACCCGTCGAGGGCCGCCAGTGATGACCCGGTCCTTGAGAAACATCAAACTTTCACCAAGTTCCTGGTCAATGGCAACCTCCCCAACCAGGCTTTCAAGTCTGGACAGCCGTTTCATGTGGACACTTGCAAGACGGCCAAAAATCTGGGCCTCTGCAAAAACCAGACGGCCACGGAGGGCCCTCATCTCAGCAGTGGTCATGCTACCCTTTGCCAACAAGTCATCTATCGTCGTTGTCAGCTCACGCACCCTGCTTTCAACATTGGAAATGGTAACAGAAGCCAAATGAGAGTCTCCCAGGTCGATCTGCACGCCCAGGATTCTTGAAATGGAGCTGAATCCACCTTCTTTCTCACCTGACGTTTGCCAACCAGTAACCATAAAAAGAAGCCGTTGTGCTAGGTCAACATGCTTAGACTCGTAGATTTCGGCCACCAAGAAAAAGTCATCAAAGTAAACCGTCCAATGCAGATTGAACACCACCACACCTATGCGCCAGATGGCGTAAGATGTGCGGCAAAAACCCATGACAGCTGATCGCGCTCCAAATGGGAGCACCAGCGTTTGGAAAGCCCGGGGCGCCCCGTCAGCCGGTGAGTAAACACAGATGTATGCATCATCCAGCGCCGCTTCTGACAACGGAAGGTTTTTGTAAGCCTTTCGGAGATCGATAGTCTTGCAAACTAACTGGTCCCCCGGGCGAGACTGCATCCTCCTGACCAAAGTGGCACAAATCGCATCCACACCCATCGGCTGGATGGACTCATCGCGTGAGTTTGTTGTATTGATCAGAGACTCAGAGAAATCATCGATGGGCCGAAACTTGACGACCTTGCTTCCATCTGCCAGTGTTGCTGACTGCCTCACGCCAAAGCGGCGAGTTAAGATGGAGCTCTCAGGAAGCTGCTCAATGCTGAAAGGTCCACGCATCCAACCCTTGTCGCACTCCTCAATGGTTGCATCAAAAATTTCTTGGCACATCTCATTATCTCTGCCTCTCCTGACCGCATTCCAAGTTGCAATCCTGGCCATGCCAGACATCTCCCTGACCTGCTCAGGGAGCAAAGTTGCAAACAGCGGCTTGTGGGGAAACACGCCCCCCGTACGGATGGACCCCATCAGATCAAATCCTCTTGCGATGTCTGATGCCAGGGTAACATCCGGCGACCCAGACGCTTCGATGAGCTCCGCAAAAAGGCATAAGTTCTTGCTCTTGAGGATCTCCTTTGCATGGGGTGGTGATGACTCAAGGCCGTCCACTCCTTGTCGTTTTAGCTCTTCAAACCTGAGAGTCCATTTCCTCATGGCTGAAGTCCTTTCAAGAGCCAGGTCATGCAAGGATTGTTTGGCCATCTTTTCCAGGTATCTAGCCAAAACAGAATGGACACCATCCAGAAAATGTCCTGGATGCGATAAGCCTGCAGCACGTTGGACAAAATTTTCTGGAGTCCAAGCAATCCCGTATTCCACTTTCCAAAATTGTCCTTGCCCCTCTCCATCCCCCTGTAAAATAGGGGCTTGTAGTCGTTTGGCATGTGGTGGCAACACTGTTGTAGGGGGAGACGTAGAGCAGCTTGGTGAAATGACTTGTGGCTGCTTCGAAGTTGATGGCAAGGCATGGATCAAGTCGTGGGGGCCCACTACATGTAGAATATGGTCATATTCACGCATCAATGGTTTGAGGCGCTTGCCACGAACATGCTTGCCCAGAACTGCCTGAGCACGATGGTGTAGGCTAGCATCAGTGTCTAGCTGCATGTCAACAGGCACGTCAGAGGCGCCATGAGCCAGGAGGGCTTGACGTAAACAAGCTGCCCACTCACGGCAAAGCCCGTGAGGATACTCAACTTCAAGGGCAGTGGCCCACCCTTGTGGGGTGACCCCATCTGTCGTGTTCGTGTGAACCATCACAACTCCGGGACAGGTGTTGAAAGCAGTTATGGTTAACCAGCAACTTTGTACTCTTGCGGCGTTTGGCTCCAAACATGCAGTGATGAAACAACACCTCAGCCAGCATGTGTCTGACTGGCTCCAACGGCCTGCACAAGAATGAGGTGTTCCACATATGGGATCTGGCCGGGTTCTCAAGGCTGCAAATGATGCCATGCATGGTGCAATATGCCGTGATTTCACCGCTGAGTTGGTACAAAATGTTGGCAGTGGTAACACGTGCTTGGTTTCGACCAGACAAACCATTCAAGCCGTCTGGAAATTGGTCACTTCGAAGAGGGACAGGATTGGGGCCAAAACGCCTCTTAATTTCCCTGGCTCTCGATGAAGTTCCACAAGGTGGTGGGCCTAGGTGAACTGCAAAAACTCTGGGTTGTTGAAGAATCCGCCAAAGTAAAGCTTGCCCAGATTCATCTGAAAGATCCAAACGGAGCACTGGCGCCTTGACCTGCTTTGTGACGTGGGCATCAACACCAGTACTGTGCTGGCAGCCAAGGCGTCGAACTTCGGCCGTGAGGCCTGCTGTACCCGAAAAGACTTCTATGAAAAGAAGGTTTGAAATTGACTTGTCTTGCACCCTCCTGGAAAACTGCTCGGAAAAAGAAATTGTCTCAAAATTTCGCTTGACCCCTTGGTCAAGCTTGTTGGTCTCAACCTGGTTGTTTGAGGCTGCGGACTGGCCTGGCTGAGGTAGGCACAGTCCTCCCTGAGATTGTCAAGCCAGTGCAGAGTTGCACTGGTGGGCCGAGTGGGCCCCAAAGCATCGCATGCATTGATGAAGTCCACGTCCGCACTCTTGTCCTGCAGCCGCAAGGTTGCAGCCCTTCTCAAGATTGAAGTTGTAACACATCCTTTTCCCAGATTTGGTCTGCTGGTGCAGCCCAATGAGCTCGGAGGGCATACGACCTTTGTTGCTGGCCTTTGTCTTGCCCTTGCCCTTGCCCTTGGCCTGTTTGACCTTCTTGTCCTTCTTCCGGATGTTTGGAGGGCCTTGGTCAGAGCCAGCCGTGGATTTTGGCTCGGTGTGCTTGGGCGTCGATGTACTCTTGTCAACCGGCAAGGGCATCAAGTGGAACATGATCGATGGATCTGCTGGAAGTTCGTCTAGCGCTCTGTTCAGTGGCAAGGATCCATCGCCCTGGCGCCTCAAGGTAGTGACCTTCTCGGCCATCTTGACCCAGGCTGTTCGGTCTGCCCTGAGGACTTGCTCCATGGTAGGTTGGCGGAATCCTGGAGGCGATGGCAACTGAAGGTGATCAAGGAGATGCCTGTGCCATTTTTCCATGTTCCGGAAGGAGCATGCCTGCATCAGATCGCAAGCCAAAGAGCGCCTGGTAAGTGCCTGATGCAGCTGAAGTTCATTACTGATTTGACATCTGTCTTTCCTTTCCACGTCCTTGACCGTGAGGTTGATGTTATCCAGCACCAACTCTTTGCCAGGACGCTCGCGGGCAACCTCACTTGCCCTTGTGGTAAAACGATGAGGCTCAAGATACATTGGGACATCTGCCTCCAACATTTTTGCCACGTAGTCGTAGGATGAATGGGCACATTCAAGAGGTCCTGTGAGTTCCATGCCCTGAAGACGGGTCCTTTGTTGCTGGATCCTTGTGGCACGTTCTGCAGGCACAAGTTCGGCCTTTCGACCATGGTCAGCACCACTGATTGTAGTTTTTATTTGGGACGCACATAGGGTTTGTGCGTCAAACATAAGCCTCCTGATCGAACTAAGCTGGCCAATAGTAACCTCGTCCAGGTTATCGGCCAAGAGCCCCTTCAAGGCGTCGTCAGGAGGCACTGTTCCAGGTGTCGTCAAGGAGAAAGCTAACTTGGAAAGATTGGTGAGGCCCTGGTTCTGTAGTCGTTCAAGCTGTGCCCTTGTCAAGCCGTGTTCCAAGGCCCGTGCATTGAATGCTGCCTCCGACTCAAGGATCGTTGCCATGCCACCAGCAGCTACGAGTTGAAAAAAAAATAAAACAAAAAGAACCAGCTGGTAAATGTCATGTGTCATGTTTGTATCTTGCACTTGAATGCTGTCGAGACATCTTCAAAAACCTGGCCAAAAGACCTGCAGGTAAAATTTCACAGTCAGAAGTGTAGACCATGCAAGGATTGTGAATGCAGGCTCACGTACAATGCGTACAGTTGCAGCGACATGCTTTTCTCCACATATTGGGTCATCCTTTACGGGCCCGCTTCACTGCCGCTCCAGCGACTGCCGCACGCTCCCCCTCAGGGGTCTGCACCTGACCCTTGTTGCATTGCTGGCACTTCAAGGCATCTACAAAGAATCTGGCATGAAAAGGTTTGTACTCTTTGCTGAGGGGCCTGCCACAAACAAAAGCTGTCCTGTGCCCGAATGTTGACAGTGCATGCACAAGCTTCGATCTGCTGTGCTGATACAAACTGCACCCTGGATGCCAGTGCCCAGCCGGTCTCTGGCTTGTGGCCATGTCCCTGATGACCTCCTCTGCATCAGACTCATCAGAGCAAAACTCCGACTCTGAATCATCACTAACATTGCTCTCAGAAGTCAACCTCTGCAGCGGCATGGCATCGGCAACCGTCTCTGGACCTTGTACAGGTTCCCTGGCAGAGAAGGCATGTTCTGATGTCTCCTGCGTGTCATCAGCTGGAGATGTTGGTGTTGGGTTCACGCTAACAGCGACTGGGCTCCGAACTCCATCTATGCCTGGGCTTTCCACAATCACTTGGTTTGGGACCGGTGTGAACATCCCAGACCTGGTGGTGTCCGGAGAGAATCTTCCGCCCCTGATATCGGCAAACATCTGTTCCAGGACCCGTAATGGTGAGCTCTGAAGGTCACGGGCATAGACCTCTAGCGCACCACGATTGAGTTGGTGGTGTCCCAAAATCAAACGATCCTCCGGGGATGCACCATACTTGCTAAGCATGATGAGTGTTGTAGCCTTGCAGCCATGTGGTGTAAAACCAGTCGGCTCGAAGTCATGACATGACTGTAAAACTCCATGAATCCACTTGCAAACTTCTGAAGATGTAACCGATCTGTCAGTCCAGTCCCCGATATGTGTAGGTGCTGGAAGCAAGGGATTCCCCTTGGCCCAAGACTTGACATCAAGCCCAATAAGCTTTGATACCTTCGCAAACTCCAGACCCCAGGCTATCTCACTCAAACCTTTGATGGGTGCTATCAAAGGAAGGTGTGCACCAAGTCTGTTCCCAGTTGCCCTCATCTTGTGGGACTCCGAATGCATTTCAATGAAACCCAGTGAAGTTTCATTGACACCAGTTGCCTCGTCAAAAAGGACCCTTGCAATCTTCCGCAAGTCTCCAAACCTGGCCCTGGAGTATATCGCAAACAGAAAGACGCCCGCTGCATAGCGGTCCACCAAAGCATGCCTCTCATTGCAGAGGTAAGCCTCCAGGAATTGGAGAGTTTTCACATTCAAAGTGGCTGACTGCCGTCTCAAGGGTCTCTCCTGCTGAGCAGTTCTGATGATCCCACTGACCCAAGCCGAATCAAATGCTGTCAAATCACAGTCAAGGCCAACAACATGCTTCATAAATTTGAGCACCTCGGCAAAGCCCTTGTAGGCGGTGTGCCCAGACCCATCGTTTCTGAGGTGCCTGATGTAGTTCTTGATCAACTCAGCCGAGACTGGAAAGGGGTCGCGCTTTGCGTCATTGGTGGCCCACTTGACAAATCTAGCCACCTGTGACAGCCTTCTGCATAAGGTCGCGGGAGATTTTCCTCCGAGAACCTCTGACACAATCTTGACCCTCTCAGCATACTCCACATCAAAAATCTGGATTCCGAGATCAAACGCAGAGTAGTTTATTGAAATAAGGGCCTCCCACTTCTGTGCCAGAATGGCCAATTGGTCGCTCTCACTAAGATGGCAGGTGCGAAAGGAGTTGAATGATATTGCACTTTCAAAAACAGTTGGTTTGTCCATGACGGGCACTCCACGTCCAGGTCGGGTGTCTTCTGGTTCATGTTGAGGCTCTACGTAACCCCAAACTGGAGTCACATCCGGAATTGAAAATGGATCGCGTTCACCAAACACCCATGACATTGATGGTTCTTCCCATGGCATGATCAAGTCTGAAGGTCTGGCACTGATTGCATGCGCATCGTTTATGGCATCATGCATTCTCTGTCTAAACTCTGGGGAGATCTCAGCTGCCTCACCATGCGGCTCACTCCTCTCATCGCCTTGCTCGATGTTGTAGACACCAAGTTGTCCACCCATGTAGTGCCTGGCAAAACACACAAGACACGATGAAATCAATGTTTAAAAACAACCGAAAAACTAATCAAAGATTGTGGCAACATACATTCAGTGACTGCGTACCAATGGCCTCCAGTCCTCAAGGCCACCTAAACCAACAGGGATGCCCCGAGAAATTATCTTGGGGAGTACACACCAAAAAGGTCGGGGAAAAGGAAGAAAGAAAATTTGCCAGTTCACGAGGCCATGGCATCGGAGAAATAAGGAAGATGCAAACTGCCCACATGGACATCCGTCTGAGATGCACACCGCAAATCTCGACAGTCGTGACACCTATAGAATCATGGTGTCAAGAGTGTAAACTCAGATGCACCTATCTTCCGGAGGCTTGCATGGCTAAATTATATTCATCGAAGGAAGTTTGTGGCACATGGTTTTCAGACAAATCTAAATGGTCAATTCTGACGGGGAAAACCTTCACACTTTATGAAAGTGTGAAGGTTTTTCCTGCCACCGTCTTGGGAGCACACGCTCCGAAACAGCGGCAGTTCAAACGCCAATGGATGGCCTAGGCGCGTGCACATGCACGACTTGGATTACATGCGGTCAATGCCAACATGTGGAAGATCAGACGGGAAAAACCTTCACACTTTATGAAAGTGTGAAGGTTTTTCCTGCCACCGTCTTGGGAGCACACGCTCCGAAACAGCGGCAGTTCAATCGCCAATGGATGGCCTAGGCGCGTGCACATGCACGACTTGGATTACATGCGGTCAATGCCAACATGTGGAAGATGCACACGCATCAATTTGACACCTGGGACACACACTTTTCCGAAAAAAGTCACACCAAAACCTGCTGGCAAGTTCACATGTGCACACACATAAGTCATGGCATGTCATGACATCAAAAGGCCTCCTGATTCGTTCAAATCACCTTCCAAATCGTAGAGACACCGCAGGACCTGATGTCGCACCCAAGGCACAAAATGGCATGCACAAGAACGGAAAACATCGTTGAAACGCCATGCGGAAACTCTACAAAGAAAATCCAGATAGGTGAACATGACAAGAAACATGTGAAAGTGCATGCACATGACCCGTCACATGGTGTCCAAACATTCGGACGGTGAAATTGGCACCTGACTGGCCACAGTGGCCTAATGTCACATCGACTGAACGTGCCCACATTGGGTTGAGACTGTTGAGACATTCAATGCACATTGCATGACTCGACATTGAGTCCGCAACCCAACAGTCTCAGGGCACACCTGACATTGACCACACATTTTGGTTTCATCGAACGTGTTTGGTAAATAAAAAAAACAAAACACTTCCAGTCAGGACACATACATAAAACACTTGTAATTACTGCAGGTGGTTTGGGGGCCTCAGGACAGCGGACAACCCATACCGGAAATGGCTACGGGCTGGAGCACAGGGTCACCATGCAACAATCAAGTCGCCACCAACATTTGGTGAGCTGGAAGTGAATCACATGATTCCTTGATTGATCGCATGCCAGTCCTATGAAATTCACACTGTCCCAGTCTCGTCCCTTCCCTTCTCATCAATCTTTCTTTTTTGTTGCCAAAAGTCAGACTAAGCCCTCTGTACCGCAATCCATACAAATTGGCAAATTGTCAACGCAGTTTGGATCATAAAGATAAACCTTAGCACTATGTCATCCACAAAGGTGTAGTACAGTTCCATCTCCGAACGCTCTCCCCCCAGTCAAGGTCAAGGTGAGGATTATAGTTTCAGGTAAACCCAGCTCCTGCAGAGCGAGATGGAGCAGCAGCCCCACGCATTTCCCGAAGCTGTCTCCAGGGAGTCAATGCGTCTTGTCAGGACCTCGAAGTCGTTGGCACAACTGTCCCATAGTTCCCAGGGGCTGATGCGCCGGAGGCACACAAAAAGTGAAATTGCGTGTCTCACCCACATTGAAATCAGTGGCCAAGTCCTCTGTTCTATGCGCGCTTCCGACAACAATGAAAAAGATCCAAAAGCAACACAAATGTTTCACGCTTGCTCTTCTATGAGACGCCATGGCGTCATGGCAGGCAAGTACGGTAACGATCTGACACAAAAAGTGTTGCTGAGCCAAAACTACAACCATACGATGAACAACTGATCAACTCGACCTGACATCTCAGGTCTTGTTGCTGCCATGATAAGGTGTTATCACTCAGTTCCCTCGTGAGAATCAACATATATATATGTGTGTGTTATGTATATATATGTTATATATATATATGTTATACATACATATATATATGTGTGTTATATATATATATGTTTTATATATATATATGTGCAAATTTTAGGTTTATGTATATTTGTATGTACTTTGTTTTTTTCAATTGGAAAGGACCGTGACGACTCTCGGCAGCCTCGGCGAAAGTGCCTGTTTCAGAATAAAGTTAGAAAGCAGTAAATAGGTAGATAAAAAATGAACTCTTGATTGAGTTAACGGTGACAACTAAAGGAGACCGCGTATTGATGTGTTTTGTGTTGTTGAAATCCAATAAATAGAAATTGGGTGGCAATGTTCTATCCCGGTGACCTAACCAATGTATTCCATGGGTAGTGTTCCAATGGATAGCGGTACCAGTGGGTAGTGGGCTGAGCCCGGACACACGATTGGATACACATGGGAGAGTGCTTTCGGAGCGCCATTCTTGGCAATTTCGACTTATGACTTGCTTGCTGCAACTGCCTAAAAAACCTAAATTCTGACCCCAGTCCAGCGCTGAAGGACCATGGTGCTGCTCTATTGCCAGCACAGGGGGGAGTGCGTAAAAAGGGGAACTTATGTCGGACACCAAGGGCATACCCTTTGAATAAGAAACTCCAGACGCCTGCATATTTGTATGTACGTGTATATAAATATGTATCTGTATGTACAAGTATGTATGATTGTATGTCTGCATGTTTGCACGTTTGCACGTTTGCACGTTTGCGCGTCTGCATCTATGTATCTATGTATCTATGTATCTATGTATCTATGTATCTATGTATCTATGTATCTATGTAACTATGTATCTATGTATCTATGTATCTATGTATCTGCGTATGTGTATGCATATGTGTATTCGTATGTATGCATATTATGTGTATTCGTATGTATGCGTATGCGTATGATTGCGTATGTATGTGGATGTATGCGGATGAACGTATGTAGATGTAGGTATGTAGATGTACATATGTAGATGTAGGTATGTAGATGTACGTTTGTATATGTAAGTATGTAGATGTACGTATGTAGATGTACAAATGTAAATGTACAAATGTAGATGTACAAATGTAGATATACAAATGTAGATGTAGGTAAGCAAATGTACGTACGTAGATATACGATGATGTACGTATGTGTATCTATGTATATGTGTATGTGTATGTCATTGTGAATGTATATGCATGTGTATGTTAATGTGTGTGCATTTGTATAATATGTATGTGCCTGTGCATGTGTCTGTGCCTGTGCATGTGCATGTATATATATGTGTGTGTGTAGTATGTATAACCCAGTAAGGCCTTAGCCTTGGAACGACCCCCATATCATTCACAATTGGCCGCCCAAAATACTGACCAAAATATCAGATTTCAGAATCGATTTGGTGTGTCAGGTGGACCCGTCTATACTTGCAGGTCAAGGTTTACGATTGGAACTGATGATTAGAACGCATCCTCTTACCCCACAAGCGCAACCAGATCTCCATTCGGGAGGTCTTAGGCTGCCGCTTTGCACCGATCAGCCGTGGCGCCAAGGTAATTTTACTTTGTGCAAAGACCTGTGATGATTTGTGTTTGATGCTGGTCTGCCCATTTGAGTATGTATTCAATGCCTGTCCAAATTGCATGTTGAACTGCTCTTGAGCTACACATCAATCCGATCAGCTGCCCCACAAATAGGACAAAATTGAATGACGAATATTTGCAGAATGCTGTACTTGATCCGCTGTGACCGCAGATGGCAAACATCAATATGTGGACATTGCACTGTTATTTATGTGTTTTCGTGTGAAAATCCGCATTTTTTTGTTTTATGGAACATCAAACAAAATGTAATTGTAAGTTGGTTTCCAAATGGAAATTTGCAATACCGCAGGAAATGTTTCATGGAGATTTCCAAGACAAACACAATTCAAAAAAAAAACAATTAAATTTGGAAGACATAATCAACCATGACGCTTACCGGCCAGTGCAAGATCCTATGTTGACATCCCCAATACGTTGGGATGAGTTTTTGAAAGCATGGTCAAAAACGAAAATTTATTTATAAAAAATTGCAGCGGAAACACCCTGGATAGCAAACAAAATTGCAAAGGGTTTGGATTCTCGTTTTTGGCCAAAAAAAATACACCCATGTTGCTGGAAAAAATGAATAAACAAATAAAGAATAACGGGATACCGGGATACCCATCGTCCCCCCAACAATCCAAAACACCCTCGACCCCACGTGAGATTGCAGGGTACTTTAGGCCATTCTAGACATTTGGGAAACCCTGTTGAGAAACAAATGGATTTCTGTGTAATCATTCGGTGCATGATCACAACTTGGTAACATGATGTCATTGTATACACATTGCTGTGACAATTTGATTCCAAATTGTTTGCAATTTGGTTTCAGTTCAGCAATTGTGGCAAGTCAACCTCGTATGCCGAAACGGTGCAATTATAATGTCATATATGCATGCATGAACCAAACAATAAATCTGGATCAAATTGACCAAAAAATGAGAAAACGTTGGCGACAGTGAGCCGCGACATCTCCGCATGCGTGTTCACTACTTATCATGTTGGAAAACCTGTAATAAACAAGCCAAATTGGAGTATGATCCAAGTTTTTCATATTCCAAGATGTATATACATGGAACTTGTGCCGAAATGCATGTCAAAATCCTAAGAAATCAGATCTGGCAGCTTGCAATTAGGGAACTACGAAGAATTAGCATACATACCCGAAAATATTGTCACAATGTGTTTTTTTCTGGTTTTACCCCCCCTTCTCCCAGATGTTTTTCCCAAATGTTTTTGGGTCAAACCTCGCGCCACTCGAGTTCCAATTGCCATGACGTTTTTATATATGACCTGAGCATACGTCAAGTTTCTTGACAAATAACAGACAACGTGCATGTTCACCCCCTCGGTTTTGAAATGAAGGAGAAAATAGCAACTGTCTGGTTGTAAATCGTCGCTAAAATCAACCCAGTGCCGTGAAGATGTGGCACCGGCGGCATCATCAATTGCGAGCGTGGGACACGGACAGCATAACACACATCACAGAAAAAAATCCGTTGGCGAAGGCCGAGGTGCTCAAAAGCGTCATGTAGACGTGGGTCTTTGTCATCGATACTCTGATCGGGGGAGAAAACCACCGTGAAATTCAAATTTTCAGGTGGGTGAGCTCTGTCCGCAGCATCAGCATCTGCTTGAGGCATCATTGCCAAGCCAGTCAAAGGGCAAGGCGCCAAAAGGCTCTAGGCTTGCAGCAATGGCTCACCGTGCCGAGGTGGTTGTCTCACATTGCCAGAACCACTGCTTGGACTGGAGGAAAGGTTCCGATGCAAATGTAGCACTATACATTTCTGTTCTTGGTTGTTTCGGTGAGGGTTCTTTGGCTGGAAGTTCAGGATCAAATCGAACCAACTTTGCAACACTTTCCTGTCCTTCATCTTGAGGTCGCTTTCTTGATTCTGCTTCTTGAATTCTTTGTTTCACTGAAACTGGCAAACGCAACGAACTGGTCAGTTTCCTCTTCTCAGATTCTTTTCTCTCACGCTCTTGCTGTTGAATCAAAACATCAAAAACTGAATCCACAACAACTGCACCATGCTGTGCTGCCCCGCCTGCCTTATAGATTTTCTTGAACTCCTCGCAAACACGATATTCATTACGATGCGTAAAACCATATATATATGTGCATATGTATATATATATATATATGCTGCCCCGCCTGCCTTATAGATTTTCTTGAACTCCTCGCAAACACGATATTCATTACGATGCGTAAAACCATATATACATATATGTGTATATATATATATACTCGCCCGCTTATCATATCGCGTGGGACTACGCATCAACAGAACATCTCAAACTTAAACCTACAAACATCACCAACAACTCAAATTGAAAATAATGGCTGTTGGCTGAAAACGAATGGACGATGCACTCTCGGAAGGGATGCTCTGATCTTTCTCACAGCTGGCATACACGGGGAGAAATCAGTTGAATGACCTGGCATTAGGTCAAAGTCTTTCATGCGCTTTGCAAGAAAGTTTGTCTTTTGGACTTTGTCTGATGTCTAGTTAACATCACCTGCGCTTCAAGTTTTTAATCCTTTCCCGGTCCCCAATTTTGGGTGGCAACAACCAAAAAGGGTTGTGGGGAGGGTGCAAAATTGGCGCCCAACTAAAAAGATGAGGGTCTTCCCTCCCACCCTCCACTTGACATGACAAATGCACATGCAGTCAAATATTCACATGGACTTGCTTGTGAAAAACGCATCACTGAAAATGATTCCGATCTGTTTCAAAACGCTTGACCTTTCTCCTAAGGACAGGTTTGCGTAACCGTTTGTTTACATGTTTTGCACATATCCTAGGCGTCGTCTTTTTTTGCAGCTTCAGCAAAAACATGAATATCAAATGAGCACTTCACAATCATTTACGTGAAACAAGACTCCCACAAATAAGAATGATTGCTTCGCACTACATTGCATTTGTTTCTTCCATTTGGGTTTTTCAAAGTACGATATAAATCGTAGAGACCAAGCTTTAACCCAAGGGAGAGAGAAGCGAGGAGAAGGGAAGCATATCCCTAATTCAAGGTTTATCTAGAAACAACTATTGGCAAGCCAACAGTAATCTTTTAGATTATCTTGAACTCCTCGCAAACACGATATTCATTACGATAGCATAAAACCATATATATATATATGTATATATATAAATATACTCGCCCGCTTATCTATATATATATATATATCGCGTGGGACTACGCATCAACAGAACATCTCAAACTTAAACCTACAAACTTCACCAA